GCTAAGCTTTCGTCCGTCATATGACAAACATCATCAGAGCAAGGTATCATCGTCACAACACAATTCAAGCTAATGAGTCAAGAAAACTCGTACGGAGACAGACACACTTACCGGCTTCGAGGTTGACATATGACGGTTTTCTTGACTCGTTAGTTTGAATTGTGTTGTGACGATGATACCTTGCTCTGATGATGTACGCCATATGACGGACTTAAGCTTAACACCTTTTCACCGGAATCGAAGGAGATTACCTCGGAAACAGCGTCAGCATGAATCTGCCAGTAAAGCCAATCGACAGCTAGTCAAGAGTAAGCCGCCGTCGTCTTCTGGTTGAACCGACCCTCGAATCTCTTCAACCAACACTTTCACTCGAAATGAAAGTAAGCTCAACAATTTAGTTAAATAATGGCATAAGGAATGGTCTCGTCAGATTCGGAACTTCTTCTGCCTTTAGGTTTGATCAAAGGGTCACAATTCTCATAATGAAACTACCAAACACAGTGCTAGTTAGTCTATCCTGAAAGCAACCTTCCCACACAATCTTGCAATTCCTTATTTACTTTATGAACGCCACTGGTTTTCCATATATAATTATCTGTAAACATATTTCTGTATGCATCATCATTGGGGCTTAAGAGCGTTTCTATAGATACAGCAACTCGCTTTGAAAATGAATTTGGTAATGTCCGTTACGAGACGTAATTCGTAGAAGCCTTCACGACAGCCCTATTACAATATTTAATAAGAATAAACTTAGCTCATTCGTTAATGTATTCATGCATTTAAGTAATCTCTGTTTTAATGGATAGAGAATAACAATAAATCGGTAAATTTATTTCCTCACTGAGTATTGCTCAGGTGATAGTAGAAGCGAATGATCTATTCACGGCCCTTAGTTTATTCGGATGATGCATGTGCGGATGGAATGGCACTGGAAATACTTGTTTGTCTGTAGCAATCGTCCATCTAGTTTACGGTGTTTACTTGCTGTGGAACTGCTGGCTTTTTAAAAGGATAAGTTGTCTCTTATTTCAGGTTATTTTGGCCACTTCATCCCAGAGTACATTTACACTCAGAAAATTGGTGTGATTGCGGTCTCGACCAGGTCCCGTCCTGTCTCTGTGATGCTCGAAACTGGGTCAGACCTATCAACTTAGCTAATTGGCGACAACTGCAGCTCTTTCGCCTATATGCAATTGACCCCTCCTGTTTTCCTTTCGCTCTCTTTTCAGATCGGCCTCTTTTCTGCTATCCCTCACATATTAAAGGTGCTCTTCTCCTACATCAGCGGCTGCATTGCCGATGCACTAATGATTAATGGCCTAATGACGGTCACACAAACTCGGAAGTTTATGACCGGATTTAGTAAGTGGACTCTTGTCAAAAATTTTACTTTAACATGAAACCCTGGCCCTCATGGATTGCTTCTTTAATCTCTTTGGGATCCGAATGGTTGACTCACTTTTGAAATAAGACAATAAAACAGAATAATTAATAGCATGTATTTAACCCATGCAGATCCAAGCACATTCCGTTCCTAACGGCCTATTGAAATTCATTGAGCCTCTTTTAGATACTTTACTCCCATATCCGATTTGACAGTTTGTTGCTACTCCGCATGGCAACAAATTAAACTTTATAATGGACATGGATAGATAGTAATCTTCAAAATATGCACTTTTCAATATTTTCTCTAAAGTGCAAATTTACTTAGCCCACTGTTGCCAGTTGGTCAACAGTAAATTTCACCATTCTACTCAAGTTTAAACTCTCGAAGCTTCTTCTTTGTTTACGCTTGTACGTAAGATATTTCTGTCATCTTATCTTTAATGGATGAGGCTAGGAATAAATTTCGGTAGTGCAATTAAGTGTAGAGATTGCATATTGAGACAAGTGTATTTCGATCAGTTCTGGAAATCTGCTTTAGTTTTCGCAATTGTTCCGAAATACCGCTTGAAATGGGTGTGGGAATGTACCATTCGTGTTCTTATGAATGGGAATCAAACATAACTTCGCAAGAGTGCGTTAACTCGAAAGGTGGGTGCGCATTTAATCAAATGGTTTGATTTTTTCTCTTTTATAAATGAAATCGAACACAATCCATGCGGATTTTGATACAAAAACAATAAGTCTAGACCACACGCTCCTGGTCTTAGTGGGTTTCAGAACATTCAATTTAAGCTTTATCTGATTAAACTAAAGCGTATCTCACATCCTGATTGCTTTTTCTATTCCCTAGGCTACAGCGTATTTTCCCTGGTATTTCTTATTCTCATCTTCGTCGATAACGGCAAGGCGGCCATAACTCTGCTCTGCGTGGGAGTGGGCCTATCTGGCCTGGCGACTGGCGGTTGGATGGTGAACCATCTTGACTTGGCGCCTGAATTGTCCGGAGTGCTGGCCGGCCTCTCAATGTCTACAGGCACCCTCGGAGCTGTGCTGAGCCCATTGATCACGGGTATCATTACACAGCAACCTGTACGTTTTCTTGCGTAGGCTTAGGATTGCGCCTAGTTGCCGGCGTAGATACGCCAGTATAAGCTTGACTATATTTAGAATATTGTGTCAACGAGGTTTTTTATCTTCATATTCGCAATAGCATCTGTCCAGAGGGCGCAACTACAATGCAATGCATCGGCAAAACTATCATTTGCATCCACGCGTATACATATAAATTAAAATTAAAAAAACCAGCAAATGTACGTGTGCATGTATGAATGTATGTGCGTATTTATGTATACTCGATAAGATAGGTAATTAACCTCTGTTTCATACTGTCTCTTGCCTACAAATGACCAAGAGCCCAGTAGACACACGTAGCTACCCTTAAATTTGGTTAATCTGAATATTATTCCACGATGTATTGGATGGATTAAAACAAACTAGCTGTCCTAGAAGGGATTAAAACCTACACTTGATTAAGGGACAAGTGGAATATCTGTTTAAAAGAGAATATGACAGCTAGTATTCGTCATCTTTATAAGTGCTTTCATAAGATTATCTCTTAACACATAATACAGTATAATATTTTTAAAAATTTTTGGCTGAGAAACAAAAGATTCGTTTTAATGAATACAAGGGATGGCAACTGTTGGGCATAAACTTTCTTAAATAGACAAGAGTGGTTTACTTAAAAATAGAGATGTCAAGCTCATATCCTGACTGTCGAGGTTCC